GAGAGAGAGAGAGAGAGAGAGAGAGAGAGAGACAGACAGACAGACAGACAGACAGTGTGTTGCTATTACCTATTAGGGCACATCTCTGCTGGACATTGTCGTAGTGATAGGAAAAGGGAGACATTTCTTTCACAAGCTCTTTCAATGAACAAGAAGAGCTACAGTGAGAAGCAGCAATATTAGTTTTACCTGAAAATCTCTCACTTCTATATAGAAGTCACTATTTAAAAAGGGAAATATATACTCAAAGTGTTTTTCAGAAAAAATGACTAACCACAGATACCTTCTAAACTCAGCAGATCTGAGTGTCACATCTGTCTGCTTCATCAATTAAAAGTAAGGTTTTTAAAGTGCCAATTAGCTGCTTTGTTGAACTGTTGCACAAGACAAAGAGCTAGATTCTATCCTCTCTCAAACACCTGGTTTTTAACTCCAGGTCTAAAATTTGGTCCTCAGTTAGCCTATGCAACAATCCCACCTGAGGTAAACTTAAAAAACAACAAATAGTCGGGTAGCACGTTACAGACTAACGAAACATGTAGATGGTATCATGAGCTTTTGTGGGCACAGCCCACTTCTTCAGATGACCGAAGAAGTGGGCTGTGCTCACGTAAGCTCATGATACCATCTACATGTTTTGTTAGTCTGTAACATGCTACCAGACATTTTTTGTTTAAGTTTATCCTGTACAAACTACCTGGGCTACCCCCTGAAGCTTCTACTTCAGGTAGTTTCTGCAGTCTGTGGGATTGTACAGGTCTAATTAAGACCATAAAACAAAAAGGTTTTACAGACCAAAATTACCACCACTCAATGAATAAGAAAGGAGCACCAGAAGGGAGACCAGAAGTGTAATATACCTTTACTTTAGCAAGGCTTTTGATACTGTCTCCCACAATACTCTTGCCAGCAAGTTAAAAGAATGTGGATTGGATAAATGGAGGGTAAGATGGATAGAAAGATGGCTAGAAAGCTGGGCCCAGTGGGTAGTGATCAACGGCTCGATGTCAGGATGGCGGTCGGTTTCTAGCAGAGTGCCCCAGGGTTCAGTTCTAGGACCGGTTTTGTTCAATAGCTTTATTAATGACCTGGATGAGGGGATGGATTGCACCCTCAGCAAGTTTGCAGATGACACTAAGCTGGGGGAGAGGTAAGATACACTTGAGGGCAGAGATAGGGTCCAGAGTGACTTAGACAAATTGGAGGATTGGGCCACAAGAAATCTGATGAGGTTCAACAAGGACAAGTGCAGAGTCCTGCACTTGGGATAGAAGAATCCCAAGCATTGTTTCAGGCTGGGGACCAACCAGCTAAGTAGTAGTTCTGCAGAAAAGGAGCTGGGAGTTACAGTGGATGAGAAGCTAGATATGAGTTAACAGTGTGCCCTTGGAGCCAAGAAGGCTAATGGCATATTAGGGTGCATTAAGAGGAGTATTGCCAGCAGATCCAGAGATGTCATTATTCCCCTTTATTTGGCTCTGGTGAGGCCACATCTGGAGTATTGTGTCCAGTTCTGGGCCCCCCCACTACAAAAAGGATGTGGACACATTGGAGAGGGTCCAGTGGAGGGCAACCAAAATGATTAGGGGGCTGGAGCATATGACCTATGAGGAGAGGCTGAGGGAGTTGGGTCTGTTTAG